CCCCAAAACCCCAAAACCCCAAAACCCCAAAACCCCAAAACCCCATAATTAGATCTTACGCTGAATTATTGTAAATTACTTTTAGTGTAAAACTGTAAATATGCTCAAATAATTTACTCTTTATTGTCTTTGTAGTACTTCTTCAGAGACCTCTTTTCTAAGTCGTTGACTAAAAGCATCCTGTACAAAGGCTTGCTGTATCTATATAATGTATGGAACATTTGAGCTGTCAGGCTGTGAGCTGGAACTGGCAAGCAAGTGAATTCTTGTCCAAGATCTCTCAGACTGCTCTTCACACATTTTTCAGGAGTAATTGAATCTGGACCATTGTAGTTATTGACAATTTTAGTGCTGACGAATCCTGGGGTAAGATTTTGAATATCAATCTTATCTCCATAGTTGTCAGTTAGATAGTAAGAGAAGATAGTTAAAAATCTCTTTGCAGCACAATAGATTCCCATGTAAGGAAGAGGAGCATTGTTTCCAATAGTTGATACATTGATTAAAGCACTTCTTGTTTTTCTTGATAAAAAGTGATTGATCAAGTTATGAGTGAGCATAGTCGGAGCTCCAGCGTTTACTCTTAAATTGGATAAATGCCAATCGAGGGAGATATCTTCAAAATGACAACACTCTCCCCATCCAGCATTGTTAACTAAAATAGACACGTCAAGATCTTTCACTTGGTCGTAGATCTTTTGATAAAATCCAACCTCAACAGTCTCTCCCAGATCAGCTACTACAACCTTAGTTTTAACACTCCCACTAGCTTCCTTTACTTTAATCTCAGTTTCCTCAAGTTTCTCCTTATTCCTTCCAATAAGAACAACATTAAATCCCTCCTTTGCGAACTGTACACAATATTGTTCTCCAATTCCGCCAGTAGCTCCTGTCACAATAACCCATGATCCTTTGCCATACCTCTTCTGGAGGTCAAGAGGTTTCCTGGCATAATTCCTAAGACCCATTCTCACAATCATACATATGGTATGAGTAAAGGTGTAAATGCCAATGACCCATGCAAGCAAGTTATTCAGTGAGCATATCAAAGATAACATCTTTTATTAAAATTTACCTACTTCACAATACAACTTTAATTTAAGGGGTTTTGGGGTTTTGGGGTTTTGGGGTTTTGGGGTTTTGGGG